GGAAAAAGGAAAAAGGAAAAAGGCATGAGCTCTGAGGTCAGGCTGAGCTAGTTGCTGCCAGAATCACAGTGGATGACTCTGCTTAGTGCTTAACTGTTTAAAAAAGCCTCTAAAAAAGCATGCTCTACAGGAGGAGGAAAGAGAATGATGTGCCTCATCTACGTCAGGAATTTTTCGGCTTTTAACTCTTGCTTAGCTCTGCTCGAGTGATCATAAAGTCAGACTAGATGAGGCACCTCGTTCTCCTGCCGCCTCCTGTAGAGGGCACTTTTTTAGAGGCTTTTTTAAACAGTTAAGCACTAAGCAGAGTCATCCACTGTGATTCTGTCAGCAACTAGCTCAGCCTTTTTTCTTTAACATTTTTTCTTCTTTTCATGATGACAGTGGTGAGGCTCTGCGCCTCCCCTGCCTCCCCTGACTGCACGTTCCTGCTTCATTGCAATGGCCCTCCTTTTTCTTTTCTTTTCTAGGCCTCAGTAGATGCTGCAGAAACCCAGAGAACAGGAATATTCTTTGTTGGACAAGTGTGATTCGACATAACAAGGAATTTGTCCCCAGTACATAAATTCTCAGTGTACATACAAACAACAAAGTGGTAAGTTTTAGGGCATAGGATAAAATCACAAATTATAAGATACAAACAACAAATGAGAAATCATAAGATAACAATAGGAGAAGGTAGTAGGAAAGATGAATGTACTGTAGGCACTTTTGGTCTTGGATCCCCCATGCCATTTCCATTCTTCTTCCTCTGCTCTTCATGACTGATCAGCTGGTTCTGCAGAAGCAAGTCGTGCAAATCAAAACCGCTGCTTCTCCAGCAGTAAGAAGAAAGCAAAGGGACACCAAATGAAGGGGGAAGTAGAAGAGGCTTAATGGAAACTCAAGGAGGACCCAGGAGATTGGCTTTGATTAAGAAGTATTCTGTTTCTAATTTGGACCTGAGATCTTGACTGTTTAGTTGCATGAATTGATGGATGCCCTCAACCATCTCCTTATGTTTTCAGTTATTGTTATAATGAACACGCCTACTCAAAAGCGTTACATAAACCAAGTGATGCCTGAGTGACTAAAGATAATTTCATTCAGGCAATATCATCTAAAAGAGATTCTAGTAGGGATGATGTTTCTTATCCATCTGTACCTCCAGCCATTTAATGACAGCTTAAGTTATTGTTTCTTGGTGCTTGGATACAGGTGGAAGAATATCAAACAGGAGTTCATCTTTACATTCCCCTAACTACAGCATAAACATGACTTGGTGATTACATTTTGTCTCTGATGTCTTCATGACATTGCCCTCAGGCAACTGAAAATTATTTATTCTTAGCTGTGCCAGCTTTAAAGTAGCATTTCCCTTTTTTCTCCTGACACAATATTTCCAGTGGAATCTGCAGTCTGGCATGCTTCACCAACGGTAATATTGCTGATGCTGGTAGGCAGGAGGGTCTGCCCAACCTCAATAGGCAATTTTAGAGTGCAGCATGCATGCTGCCCCTCTTCTGTTAGCTGGGCCAGGCCCTTGTGGTTATTGGCCCTCTCTTGGCTGCAGGAGAGAAAGAGCCTATGGCTTCCACAGAGACATTTGCTCAATCGTGCTTTTTTTCAAAGTACTGTATTGTTTGGAGTGTAAGACGCACCGGAGTGTAAGACGCACCAAGATTTTGAAGAGGCAAATTTTCCGCTCATTTCTGCCCTCCCCAGCCCCCGGGAGCTCTCTGAAAGCCTCCTACAAGCTATGCACTGCCATTTGGTGAAGGGGCAGGGTTTTGGGTGGGAAAAAATGCTGTATTCTGTGTATAAGACGCACCCAGATTTTCAGCCTCTTTTTTGAGGGAAAAAGGTGGTTCTTATACTCTGAAAAATACTGTACTTATGAGGTCCTGTAAAAAAGTTCATATCAAAATGAGTTTAGCACTCCCTCCCCCCAAGTGTTAAACTTGCTTCCGAAACTTGGGTTTAGCACGCTTATGAAAGATTTCATAAATATTCCCTTATCTTTTAAAAGAGGTCCAGTTCTAAGATGCCTGGAACAGAGGTGGTATTCACCAGGTTCTGACCAGTTCTGAAGAACCAGTTCCATTGTACTTGATCTTGCACAGACCTGGACTGTGCTCTCCTTAATCATTATGCTATGGATGAATTCAATATTTTTTCTATACAAGCCTGGTATTTACTGATAGGTGGCAAAAAATTTTGAATCCCACCATTGGCCTGAAAGGTAGACTGAACCAGTAAAGAGAGTTAGTGTGAAGTTTCCAAAAGATGCCCTAAGTAAATTACGAGCCTCGAGACAAAGTTCAAAAGAAATCCAGTCATTTATTAGGAGCAACATTTTGGCATTTTCTTCTTCTGCGGAACCAAATCTGATTTCCATTTAATGGCTTCTGAACTTTACCCTTGTGTCTCCCCTCCCCTCAGTCTGTCCCATAAATCACATCCACCAATGAGGTGCTGCAGCAGGCTGTGAACTTTTGCGCCACACGTGCCTGCTGTAGAAATCTGAGATCCGACTCTGGTCAAAGGTATGCATGGAATTCTACCTCCCTTCAATGTCAACTTGATAATAGTTATGGAAACGCTTTACAAGTTGACAGTTAGGTTCCGCCAGCTATATGTTGCTTGTTCTTCACGCACTGGATGAATTACAGGTAGTCCTGGATTTCCAACCACTCATTTATTGCTTTTGTGAATGACAACGGCACTGAAAAAAGTGACTTATGACCATTTTTCACACATGACCATTGCAGCATCAATATGATCAAATTTCAGATGTTTGGCAACTGACTCATATTTATGACAGTTGCAGTGTCCCAGGGTCATGTGATCACCTTTTGCCACCTTCTGACAAGTAAAGTCAATGGGGAAGTCAGCTTCACTTAACAACTTAACAACTGCAGTAATTCGCTTAACAATTGTGGCAAGAAAAGTTGTAAAATTTGGCAAAACTCACTTAGCAACTGTCTCACTTAGCAACAGAAACTTTGGGCTCAATTGTAGTTGTAAGTTGAAGACTACATGTACAGGTTTTCTGTTGCTTTGCCATGAATAGTCATTGTCTTTCTATCATGTTTCTACTGAATTTATTACTTTGGGGGCACAAGTTTGCCTGTTCCATTTCAATTTTGGTAATGTTAGGCACCATTATGTTGCTATTATGCACGAACTCGTGATATGGTAAAATGGAACACTTACATTAAATGCTATCCTGCAATAGTTGAGTTGTCAGAAAAAAATATGCCACATTATGCCTGTCTGAGAATATCCAACTGATTGATTTTGACTGGAAATAGAAAAAAATGTACTAAAGGGATTTTAGATTAATCCGATAAGGCAGTGCTTAAGAGACCCAAAAACTAGCTTGTGACAAGTACTGGTATCCCTTATTTATCATCTGAATTAAACTATCCCCTTTGGAGTTAACTATCATGACATAGAGAGCACAGACATCATTGGACACCGGTTCCTAGAAAAACAGGTTATTTCGAAAATGCATCTTCACAAAGACAGGCCAAAACAAAATTGTGCTTCTATTGCAGAGTTCCTTATAATTGTCAGGCAATAAATAAATGCCTGACGTTATGCTTTTCTAAGTGTTGTGAGAAAAAGGCTTGCTTAACTGCAAGAACTAATGCACAGTTGTGTCTGTCTATGCTAAGAAAGCCATCTTCTCCAGTGTATGGAATCAGCTAGTCCTTTCTAAGACAATTTCGTCTAAATGTGTTGGATGTGAATTGGCAGTGATCGCACTTAATGCAATTGATCACCTATGATCGCAATAGTAATAGCATTTAGATTTATATACCTCTTCATAGTGCTTCACAGCCCTCTCTAAGCTGTTTACATGTTCCCCAATTTCCCAACTTCGGAAGGATGGAAGGCTGAGTCAACCTTGAACTGGTCAGAATTGAACTCCAGGCACTGAGCAGTGAGCTAACCTGCAATACTGCATTCTAACCACTGTGCCACCACGGCTCTTGATTCTCCCTGAGAAAACAAATGAGCAACTGGTAAGAAATTATAGTACATTCCAATTTTTATTTTTTTTA